GTGTACCAGACGTGAACGTGACACCTTAATGGCAGCTGCACCTCTGCTCTATGAGGTAGCTTTTTTTGCCAAGGTGAGAACATGGGGACATGGGGAGAGGTCCACAGTTCTGCCCTGCAAATCACAGCCTTCAGCAATCCCACAGACAGCTCCCAGCTATGTCAATGCTGGCATACAAGTTCAGCTGTTGGAAGAGCAGTAGCTGGGGCAAATTTGAGCCCCTTCATCCAGGATGCTGGAGCTGTTTTTGTTGTTCTGGAGGTGACCTGTTCTTCAGAGCTAACTTGGCACCCCAGTATCACGTACAGGGATGTAGAGCCTGTGATACCTGGAAGCATCCAGGGGAAAGATGGACATGAAGCCCAAGTGCACCAACAAGGCAGTCCTGGTCTTAGCAGTCTCCCCTTTTATGATGTCCTGGACCCATCTCCTGGTGAAACCACCTGTGCACAGGGTAAACTTCACCCTTCCCCAGCCCAGCCCAAGGTGGGAAGGTGAGGTTGGCCACTGAGCAAAGGCCTTCAAGCAGAGCTGCATGGTTTAGCTGTGTGCTTGATGATACAATAGAAAATGCCTCTGAAGTCCCAGCCCTCTGGAGCATTTCCTTAGCTTGCTGGAATTTCCGTTTAGTTCTTCCTCTCCCAGGCTCTTACCGAAAACTGGTGTCACCATATGTGTCTCCTCAGCAGGCTCTGGAGACTGGCCAGCTCCCTTGGTCCCCCTCCCAGGTCTCTCACCGATGTGCCCGGCATTTGCAAGGAGCATGCTCCCTGCGGGTGTCAGCTTTGGCTCGCCCCTTGATTAATCACCAAAGGCAACTCTGCCAATCAAGGAAAGATTTACAAGGCAGGCAGGAAGCTCTTGTTTTTACAGGAGTGCCTCAAACACACGCACACAGTAGGAAAAGCAAACATTCCAGGCATACCAAGGGATCCACGGGATAAAAATTCCCCAAACAGCACAGATTAAGATACTTGGCGGCACATGGAAACACTAAAACCTGAACTCAAGGATTTAATTGTCTTATTGAGCTCTGAGTGCTGCATGGAACAACCTGAGCTGCATGGGAACAGCCACCCCAGGAGGGCAGGGAGAGGGTCAGCGACGGTGCCCTCCATACAATACGGGTCAGGGCTGGCCCCCACCCCTCTCCCATCTCCATATGGTTGCCAGAGCCTTCTTGGCAGAGTTTAATGTGAGCTCTCCCTTGCAAATGCTCAACCCTGCTCCTTAGCAAGGCAGGCAGGGGTCACTCTGCATCAATGCAACACTGAATTCAAGCCCATCGGAGCAGAGAGAACCTCTGTTCTGGCTCCGACTGCCAAGACCCCTGGCCTGAGAGCAGCAGTCTTTATGCTAGGTCGATGCCCATTACCTCCCATCCTACCCTAAAGCCCTCTGAAGTGAGTAGAAATGCTCTTATGCTCTCTAATCCTAAATGCTAGCCCAGGAGATGCAGCAATGCCTCTGCAACTGTTTGCCTGAGGTACTCTTCAAGGATCATCAGGGTTGAATGGGAAGACAAACATGCAGGCTAGAGCTGGTCCAGTCCCACCAGTGGGTCCAGCTGCTTCTACAGAATAATCTGTGTCCTGGGCTGCAGGACCAGCTTACTCCTTGGCTGTCACTGTTTAACAGACACAGCAATATTTTTCATTTATGGGTTTTCAAGGGACCATGAGAAAGGCAGGAGGGGAATTTTGTCCTTCCAAATGATGTGCTTCCCCTTTCTCTGGTGTTCTTTTGAACTTCTTTTTTTTTTCCCAATTTGAAACAATTTTTTCAAGGGAATCCACTCTCTGGCTGTATTTCCCAGAACTTGCCCCTGTTTGTCAAGTCATCTGTGTGATCAATTCACACCCATCTGGTTAGTCTGTGGGATAATCTGGAGTCTACATCAGGCTCTGAATCTCTAGGTGAAGAAGAGGAAGGAGCCCTGCAGTGCAAGAAGACAAGAAGGCCCAGAAATACTCTCCCCTCTGAAAGGATTGGTTGCCACACAAAGGTTCCTTTTTCACCTTTACTGCAAACCACCCCACAGAAAGTGGAATTTGACCTCTCCTAGTTACACATGGCTTCTCCATTTCTGCTCCAAGTCCAGCTGCCAGTAGCAGGAAGCCCCAGCTCCCACTCACAGATGGATGGTTTCTGGAAGAGTGGTGGAGGGAACTGATAAGGAAATAAGTCACCTGCTGAAAGCGAGAGTTAAGGGAAGCACTTGCTTGAGATCATTGAATCACAGGATGTTTTGGGTCAGAAGGGACCTTTAAAAACCATTTAGTCCACTCCTCCTCAAAATGGGCAGGGACACCTTCCACTAAACCAGGTTGCTCCAAACCCCATCCAAAGTGACCTTGAACACTGCCAGGGATGGGGCAGCCACAGTTTCTCTGAGCAACCTGTGCCAGCTCCTCACCACCCTCATTGTAAATAATTTCTTCCTTTTATCTAACATAAATTTACCCTTTTTAAAACTGTTGTCCTTGCCCTGTCACTACAGGCCCTTGTAAAAAGTCCCTCTCCAGATTTCTTGTAAGCCCCCTTTATATATTGAAAGGCCACAATAAGGTCTCCTGAGCCTTCTCTTCTCCAGGCTGAAATACATCAACTCTCCCAGCCTTTCTTCACAGAAGAGGTGGTTCCAGCCCTTGGACCATTTTCATGCCCTCCTCTAGACCTGCACTAACAGGTCCATGTCTTTCTTGTGCTGGGGGCCCCAGAGCTGAATGCAGTAATTATCCTAGAATAAAATCCTCATTTACACACTCAAGAAGTCACCAGCCATGCCCTAAGAAGGTGCAGATTGCCCTGAGCATTTATCCCAAATTGCAACCCATGCTCAGGCATGAGTGGGGCTGCCCCAAAACCTTGCGCCAGCTCCCCTCCTGCAGCCCAAGCTTTCACAGAGGTCTTGTAGCTGTGAGGATGCTCCATGGGATTCAGATGTGAGAGCATGGCTTGAACTTTGAGAGTTTGCATTGCCATACTTCATATCATTACTGCAAGCAGTTTCCTTATGGTCCTCCTCCCTTTCCTGCCCCTGTTCATCACCAGCAGATGCCCAGGAGACCTTTTGACAGCTAGCTCACAGCTGGGACATGAAAACACCCTTCAGAAACTGGTTTTGTCCCAGTGAATAGGACTGGCTTTAATGCTCTGCATTTCTTTTGTGATCACATGCATCACTGCCTGCAACCTTCCATCTAGCACTTGAATTTAACCCTGATTCAATGTCAGCTTTCTCAGCATCCTCCTCCTCTCAGGAGCCTGCCAGCATCTTCCCTTTCTGGGGCTTCTGCGAACCCTCCACAGCTTCTAGCTTGGCAATTGACATCTAAAAAGTTCGGTATCTGCTTAAAAAGAAAAAGCTGGCTGTGTTTAGGAAGCTTAACGTGGCATGGTAGGGACATGAGTCATCACCACCAGTGCTTCATTCTGTGCCACGGCTGTTTCATTTGCCCTTCACCACAGCAGAATGAGGTAATTCAGATTGCTGCATGACAGTGGCACTTGGCCCACTAGTACCACTAGGAAGAGGTAAATTAAGTCATACTGTGCAGCCAAGGAGCCATCCTGAGGGAAATGGCCACTGCACACACCAGGGATTGGAAACAGGCACTTGCGTGATACACACCCCACTGGCTACAATGCACCCTAAACACAGGCTCAACGGGTTGCTGGATAGAGATGTGCTTAGAGCTATTCCCGTCCTGAGCAGGGTTAATACACAGTGAAGCTGTGAACTTAACCTTCAGCTATGCAAATTACAGGGAACGAAAAATGCAACCAAGGTGAACCAGTATTATAAATGCACATTAACTACAGGCACTGCATTAGAACGCGTAAGCTTGCTGAACTGGGGCAGTGGAAAAAAGCAGGTTTCAGCCTCAGATCTAACTGGGGTGAAATATCAGCTCTTTGTTCCAAGCGCTTCTGCTGTCACATGTGATCCCACTTTGATAGAGTGACTGTAAAAAATGGGCTGAACAGCTGAATACGCACGAGTCATAAGGCAACTATGTTGACAAATTGAATCATACTTAGTGGGATGATACCCAAGGCAAAAAATTGCCAAGATTAGTGAGCAAGGGCTGTGACAGCATCAGCAAAGGCACTCTGCTGAGACTTGGAGCAGGGGTTTGGGCTCTAAATCCACACACCAAGCCCCTCCTTGGAGGCAGCAAGTGAAAGCATGGGCAGTGAAGGATTCATAGGGCGCATTTAAATGACAGATCAAGGATCTTATGCTTTATATACCTAAAAGTAGATGTATACCTAAAATTACCAACCATTCCTCTAGCCCCTAAGTTAATTATTCAGTGGAATTACTTTGTTATCCCACTAATTCGAAATATGCTGTTTCAGCACCCAGGTACGTGAACTACATTGCTTTCACACTGAAGCTATGCTAAAGGCGGAGGCTTGGGTGGTGTGCAATTAATCAGCCCAGATTCTGAAATTAGCTGCATTCCCTATTGCTTGGGGAAGGGACATATGGATCCATGTGTGTTTAAATGCCCGGTAACAGGATTCTGGTTTACATGCACCAAATGTCATCATTTTGAGTCATTACACATCAATGTACTGAGCAAGAAGCTCAAAGGCATAGTAAAGAATTAAGTCATGAAGTTAACCATCAGCTGCAAAAATTACAGGGATTGAGAAATGTAACTAGTGTAAAACTGCACTGTAAAGCCATGCCAGGAGTTAGGACATACAGTCTCTCACACATCCAGCTATTGTTCTGTTTGCTTTTAGAATAAAAACATTACTTTTTTTTTTTTTGCCATGTATGTAAAAGGAGAAAGAGGGAAAAAAAAAAAAAGCAACTACAACAAGAAACATGTCTCAGTCTGGAGGCATTGAAATTGTAACTTATGTATGCATGTATGTAGTTACTGACATTGTAGAGATATCAGTAGCCTTCATACCAAACACCATGTAAAAGGAATCAGAACATGTAACTCCATGTAAATGCCCTCCTATGTCTTGAGACAAACCTGTCAGGTTGCACGGGTTATACAGATGGCAGATGACCACCACAGTCATGTTGACCTTTCCAGCACACACGAAAACACAGACCGTTTAAAATCAGCATTAAAGTCACCGTCCTTACACTGTCCTGGTGAGGATAAGGAAGTGGTGTTATCTACCCAGAGGCTCAGAGGAGCTTGTTTGAGATAGCAAATGCAATTCCTGAGAAGATACTTCCTATTTTTATTGAACTCTAGGATTTCTGTGGAGATTATATGGCACGCTGGAGGAAACCGCAGGTAGGGGAACATGCCTGTCAGAGGAATCCCACAGCCCCGGGGCTGAGGCAACAGCTGCACTCGGTGTTGGGGTGCTGGAGCAGAAGGGAAGCCTCAACTCTCAGCACAGTGCCTGCTGACAGGGGAGCGGGCGGTGCCGGGCAGCGGTACAGCCTCATGTGTGCCACGTCTGCCTTGTGGTCAGGGAAGACCATCCTTCCTCCTTTCATAGTCTGTAGGATATTGTCCGGTAAATTCAGCGCTCTGACTTTAATTCCGCAGATTTAGCCACGGACAGAAACAGCAGGAGTGCTGCAGAAGAGTCTTGGCTTCGTAGAGCTAAACCGAGAAAAACCTCACACCTTTCCTTATCCACGAATTCAAACAAATGCCCCACTCCCCATCCAGCTCCCGGATGCACTTTCAACTAAAACGGGGGGATCGGAAGGAAGAAACAAACGGAAAGCCAATTGAAGCATTACGTCCTAGCAGCGGGTCCAGCGCGCGGCTGCCGTGCCCTCTGCAGGGCAGCTGTCACATAGCACGTCTGCGGCAGGGAGTCAGGCACCTTCTCTTGCCAAACCCGTGAAGCGTAAGTGGGGCGCTAATTAAGTTCCTAAACTAACGAGAAAGGTCGTTTTAATTAATCCAGACACCACCATCACTTAAACGCCCCGCAGGCATGAAAAACTAGTGGATCTCCTGCAACAAAGGCTGCCCCAAAATGTCATTGCTACCCCAAGTGCTTTGTTCCGCAGCTTCCTCCTTTGCCACCTTTAGAGTTCTCTGGGAAACCTGCGCCAGTGTCTCATCACCTTCACAGTGAAGGATTTTTTCCTAATACCTCATCTAAATCTCCCCTCTGTCAGCTTAAAGCCACTGTCTTGCCCTGTCACTGTAAAAAGCCCCTCTCCAGTTATCCTATTGTCCCCTTTAGGTGAAAGATCATTTTTCACTCCTCATGTGGAAAAGTCTCTCCAGGGCACTGCTGCAGCTTCCCCTGCTGACTGGCTATCCCAGAGGAAACAGCTGATAATGATTGGGAAGCTCAGTGTTAAAAAGCCCTGTTCACAGTGGGGCAGGATGAGATGTTGCCTTAAGAGTCGCGCGCGGTTGCCAGGAGACAGTTCCATAGCAAACGGTGTAGCGGGGCCAACAGGTAGACTTCCCGGGGTGGGTAGTCTCAGGTCACAGCTGGAATCACAGTGATAGAACGCCGAGCGCAACCGCTCCCCCTCAGTCAGTGCTTCACCCATGGCCCAGGAGGGCGGTTCGAAGCGAGGGGCCGAGAAGCGGGCCCCGCGGCTACTGCATCAAGTCGGAGCCTGGTAAACTGGGATTGGTATCTACTCGACACCAGCGGGAACAGGAAGCAGGAAGGGGGGGGCAGAGGCCCGCTACCACCGGTCTGTGTTGCCTGCCGTTGTCTCTCAGGACGCGGAAAGGCTTCTTCGTCCCGTGTGGGACCAGAGCTGCTTGTCCCCGAGGGCAGATAGGCCTGTCCCCGCCCGCAGCGCCAGGAGGGCCCCGCAGCTCCCCGCATCCAGGCAGGGCCCCTGCAGCCCGCGGGCGGGCTGGCCGCGGCCTATGTACCAATGGCTGCTGGGGGTCCTCGGTACCCTCTTCGCCGCCGCCGCCCGCCGCCCCGAGCCGTCCCCCGCCCCGCCGCCGCTGCGCAAGAGGCCGCCCCCCAGGTCAGCGAGCCGCCCGTGGGCCTCGCCCCGTCACACAGCCCCCATTCACCCCACCGCGGCCTGCCTCCCGGATGGGGCCTGCGAGAATCCCCTGCCGCCTGTCTGCCGGTTGAGGCGTTAGAACCGGGGGGCGGAAGCGGCGTTGGTCGCTGTGTTGCATCTCGGGTGCAGTGCGGTATCTCGCTCTGGGGTTCCCCTCGCTCCGGCTGCCCGCCCCTGGGCTGGGCTAGGCCCCTCTGCCCGCCCAGATTCCCCCTTCTGGGCGGTGGGGCTCGGGATGGGCTCCCGTGAGGTCGTCGCCATCCACCGTCCTTTCCGTCAGTGTCAGAAGAGCGGGTGAAGCGGAGTCGCTGAGCCTGAGGCTGGCCCGGCTTTGGGCCCAGTCTCACGCTTCTGTCGGATAGCCCTGCGCACACGGTCACAGTTGGGTGCTGAGATGATTCAGATATTCCCAATAAATCCGTTGGCAACGCCCTCCTTGCCCCCGTTCCTCTCCCCCGCCCCATTTGCTTCCCATCTATACAGTGGGGGTTTGAAGAGAAGGCAAGAGGTGGAGGTTTGGAGGTGTGTTGGATGAGCAGAGAGCAGTGTACGTACATATAGGGATATACTGGATGGAGGAAAGTCGTGGCATGGGGATGTGGTATGTATGTGCAGTGGGAGAAAGGGGGGTGCCTTCCCAGGCATCAGACATTGCTAGTGCTCCAGAGCTTCCAGCGATGGATGGCTCAACCATCTCCATGCCTGTCACTCCTGTCCAAGGAGAGAGCATGTATGATTTACATGCCATGTTTTGGGGAGTATGGTTGCTCCTTCTGGGAAAAACTTGATCGAGGAGGCTCTGCTTAGTGTCACATTCAAGAGTGAATGGGAATTGTGAATGTCTTCTGGAAAGAACCACTTGTTGCACAAGTAGTTTGTTTGCAGCTACTGTGCAGAACATAATCTCAAGCTGAAGAATGTGCCTTTGTAGGCACCACAGGCCGTCGTGTTATAGTCTGAGTAGGAGACCCAGTTTTGCTAAGAGATCGCTGGAAATGATGAGCACAGCAGTCAGGATGAAATTTGAGTGAAACTGTATTAGTTTGCTTCAGAAACGGACCTGCTGAAAATAAGTCTTCAAACTGTGCTCAATGAGATGTGCTGTGAAATGGCAAAGATATTCCTAGGTCCCATGTTGTGAGTCTCTTCAAGGAAATCTAAACCACAGGGGGGTAATCTCTGCCCACTTGAGGTTTTACCTTTTAATTCTTGCTAGAAATTGAGCAGGATGATACAAGTACTTTGCTTTCTTCAGTTTTACCTTATTGGAAATAAATATATATGTATATTACTGTGTTGGAAATATCCAATATGCTGAGTAAGAATGCATTTTTATAGAATAGATTTGCATTTAACTGCTACACCACATTATTTTCTGCCTGACTTTAATAGCATGGTAATAGCAGATATTCTTATATTGTGTAAAAGGTGCAGTTAAGGGTATTGGCTACTTTGTACTCCTGATACCAATGGAAAGTAGTCCAGAAGCCATGATACCAGCAGGGTTGGGGGGGCATAACAGTTTAAAAGAAAGAGCAAAGAATTCTTCAGAGAATCCTTGCTCTCTGTCGTAGTATTTCATAAAAAGGAAACAACCTTTGTGTTCTGTTTCTGAAGTAAAAATACTTTCTCTTTGTATCAACTGAGTTATTCCAAGAACTAATTCATGAGCACTGAGTTAACAGTAAGTTATTTAAGTGGGTGTATGCATGAGTTGCTTTCCCACCTTTTATTTCTTGTCCTGCTTGTACACTTCCTTGTAACTCAGTGTAGTGACTTACAAACTCAGATGCCTTAGTAATCTCTGGTATGCTTCTTTCCTTGAGGAAAGAGTAAAACTTTACATATTAAGGTATTTTTTTTTGTGATAAGAACCGGTGTAAAACATTAGGAAGTGTTAACAGAATGAGGAAAAGAGGCTTAATATGCTTTAGTGGAATAATTAGCTCTATTTGAGTGGTCCATTGACTGGGAGAGGTGGAGAAGCATTGTTGAGAGCTGCTCAGCAGTGATAGTTGGGTATGTCTGAGATGATGCTGGGGCACTTGGAAGAGGAAACCTTTGGGATATGAGCACTAATGTTGGAAGTTTGGACTCTGGGAAGGGAAGTCAGCCCTTTAGAAGCTGTGGTTTTAAAACACTTGTTCTGTGTGTTCTTTCCTCAGCATTTGGCCATCTGTGGAAGATTTTGATGAGATTCCAGAAAAAAAACCAAATTCAGGTATTGCACATTATGGAAGTATTTAATATGCCTAATTTTTTTGCAAGTTTCATGTATCTTAGGAAACTCTGGCTTTTGTACTTCTGCATTGTTACTGAAACTGTGGCTTTTCAAGCCATTCATTCCTTGGGGCCATCTGTGTAGCCAGCGGATTGAGCGTGTATCACAGGGCCTGGGTTTCTAGACCTCAGCGACTAGCTTCTCTCAACTAGACAAGAGTGACAGGTAATAAACTGCAAGAGTACATGCACATGCGGAGGGGATGAGGAGGATAAATCGAACACTCTACTGCTTCTCCAGAAACAAGGAATGTTCCCAAAAGCAGGGTTTTTTTGCAAATCCAGCTGGCTGGATTAGTTTTTGAGCTTCAGCTCTAAAGGACTGCTCAGTGAGCCCACTAAGACAAAAATCACCAGTTGCTGTTGGCTGAAGGGTCGGTAACTTCAAAGGAGTTGCACTGCTTTAGGTGGGATTAAGGAAGTGGGCTTTAATGCAAATAGAAATCCTAATTCCCTTTTAAATCATGTTGTTATGTGGCCTGTCTTTGTTTTTCAGGTTACGCCATCTCTGAGTGTACAGAGAAGGTTGAAGACGTTCCTACTGAGGTGAAATTGCCAGCCAAGGAAACAAGTGCATGCCAGAAAGTTTCAGTCAGAAATGCTGTTCCAATTAAAAAGTCTGCAGAGGAGGTGAGCAAGGATTTTGGAAAGTAGGTAGAATCTGTTCAGGATGAAAGAGGAAGCATCCCTCCCTAGTGCATCTTGAAGTGAGGCCTGCTCTGAGCCTCTACAGCAGTAGGTAGTTCATTGCCATTTAGACCAGGCAGCTCTTATATGCTGCGTTTGCCTTACTCAAGTTGGATTACTCTGCTCTAGCACTAATAGCTGAGGAAGGAGCTAGATGTTTGGTGTCTTTCAGTTTCTTTACAACTGTTCAAGTTTGTTGTTTTAGTAAAATAATAAACATATTGGGTTTATGTGTTTGTGAACTGTTAGTCTCTTTCTCAGGCTTGTAGTTAAAGCATCAAAATACATTATGGTACAAGAAAAACTGCATACTTCCTCTGCATAAACCTTTTTCTGCTATCCACCAGTTCAGGAGAGGATTCCTGTAGTGCTTTGGCTCTGTGAAAATTGGGTCATGAGCTGCTTGACTCCCTAGTTTTGATTCAGAGGTATAGTCTTATTTTTCTTATTGCTCCACACAGATAAGAAGAATAAGAAACTGTAATGTTCCTGAGACAGTCATTAACTCCTGTTTGTAGAAAATACATTTTTCAATGGCTAAACTGTCACACTTCAGAAAATTTAGGAGCTGACTGAGGAAAACTCAGTGAGTGATAAGCTCATATTGTCTTAATGACTTGCTCGTATGAGAGCCTGTTCAGTTGGAAATTGAAATGTGCTTCTCATAGATCCTATAGAGATTTGCATTTTGCTGCAGTTTGAACCAGCAAGTCATGGTCCCCAAGTCATAATAGAGCTGACTGTATTTCAGGAAGTTTATATTTGTTTGGGTTCACATTCAGGTTATATTCACATCGGTACTTTTTGGTTTTATTTAAGACTTGGTCTGCTTCTGACATTCCAGCTGAAGGACAAACAGGTTCTACACCAGAAATAGAAATGCTACAGATTGGTAAGACTGACCTCAAGTTATTAACTTGCTGCTTTTTTCCCTACCCCTTAGGCTTACATATAGATTACTGAAGGTGCAATATCTATGTAGCATCTAAGAATACTTGAGTGTGAATTCTGTTTCTTCTCTGCATCCTGGCATTGCTTCTGGACTGGGGTCAGGTGTTTATCTTGTCATCTCAGTACAAGAGCTGCCTTGTATGCAGTCCTTCAGTTCTGATGTCCACTGTTACCTTGCCAGAAGTAAATAGTTTTAAATGCTTATTTTAAGTAGTAGATCCTGATAACCCTGTTTTATTTCAGGTTTAGGCTGATACTTCCTGTAGTTGCCAATATGGAAATCTGAAAATATCCTAAATTAATTGTCCTGGGTTCAGTTGTCAGAGTTATTTTTCTCCTTAGTAGCTGGTGCAGTGCTGTGTTTTCGGCTTTAGTCTGAGAACAATACCGATAACATGCTGGTGTTTTAGTTGTTGCTAAGAAATGCTTACCCCGATCA